TGCTCGTGCATGCTTGCTCGTGCATGCTCGCGACTCGTGCATGCTTCGCTCGTGCATGGCTTCGCTCGTGCAGGCTTGCTCGTGCATGCTTGCTCGTGCATGCTTGCTCGTGCATGCTTGCTCGTGCATGCTTGCTCGTGCATGCTTGCTCGTGCATGCTTGCTCGTGCATGCCTTAGCTCCATGCTTCGTGCATGCTTGCTCGTGCATGCTTGCTCGTGCATGCTTGCTCGTGCATGCTGCTCTGCATGCTTGATCGTGCATGCTTGCTCGTGCATGCTTGCTCGTGCATGCTTGCTCCGTGCATGCTTGCTCGTGCATGCTTGCTCGTGCATGCTTGCTCGTGCATGCTTGGCTCGTGCATGCTTGCTACGTGCATGCTTGCTCGTGCATGCTTGCTCGTGCATGCTTGCTCGTGCATGCTTGCTCGTGCATGCTTGCTCGTGCATGCTTGCTCGTGCATGCTTGCTCGTGCATGCTTGCTCGTGCATGCTTGCTCGTGCATGCTTGCTCGTGCATGCTTGCTCGTGCATGCTTGCTCGTGCATGCTTGCTCGTGCATGCTTGCTCTGCATGCTTGCTCGTGCATGCTTGCTCGTGCATGCTTGCTCGTGCATGCTTGCTCGTGCATGCTTGCTCGTGCATGCTTGCTCGTGCATGCTTGCTCGTGCATGCTTGCTCGTGCATGCTTGCTCGTGCATGCTTGCTCGGCTGCTTGCTCGTGCATGCTTGCTCGTGCATGCTTGCTCGTGCATGCTTGCTCGTGCATGCTTGCTCGTGCATGCTTGCTCGTGCATGCTTGCTCGTGCATGCTTGCTCGTGCATGCTTGCTCGTGCATGCTTGCTCGTGCATGCTTGCTCGTGCATGCTTGCTCGTGCAATGCTTGCTCGTGCATGCTTGCTCGTGCATGCTTGCTCGTGCATGCTTGCTCGTGCATGCTTGCTCGTGCATGCTTGCTCGTGCATGCTTGCTCGTGCATGCTTGCTCGTGCATGCTTGCTCGTGCATGCTTGCTCGTGCATGCTTGCTCGTGCATGCTTGCTCGTGCATGCTTGCTCGGGCATGCTTGCTCGTGCATGCTTGCTCGTGCATGCTTGCTCGTGCATGCTTGCTCGTGCATGCTTGCTCTTGCATGCTTGCTCGTGCATGCTTGCTCGTGCATGCTTGCTCGTGCATGCTTGCTCGTGCATGCTTGCTCGTGCATGCTTGCTTGCATGCTTGATCGTGCATGCTTGCTCGTGCATGCTTGCTCGTGCATGCTTGCTCGTGCATGCTTGCTCGGGCATGCTTGCTCGTGCATGCTTGCTCGTAGCATGCTTGCTCGTGCATGCTTGCTCGTGCATGCTTGCTCGTGCATGCTTGCTCGTGCATGCTTGCTCGTGCATGCTTGCTCGTGCATGCTTGCTCGTGCATGCTTGCTCGTGCATGCTTGCTCGTGCATGCTTGCTCGCATGCTTGCTCGTGCATGCTTGCTCGTGCATGCTTGCTCGTGCATGCTTGCTCGTGCATGCTTGCTCGTGCATGCTTGCTCGTGCATGCTTGCTCGTGCATGCTTGCTCGTGCATGCTTGCTCGTGCATGCTTGCTCGTGCATGCTTGCTCGTGCATGCTTGCTCGTGCATGCTTGCTCGTGCATGCTTGCTCGTGGCATGCTTGCTCGTGCATGCTTGCTCGTGCATGCTTGCTCGTGCATGCTTGCTCGTGCATGCTTGCTCGTGCATGCTTGCTCGTGCATGCTTGCTCGTGCATGCTTGCTCGTGCATGCTTGCTCGTGCATGCTTGCTCGTGCATGCTTGCTCGTGCATGCCCTTGCTCGTGCATGCTTGCTCGTGCATGCTTGCTCGTGCATGCTTGCTCGTGCATGCTTGCTCGTGCATGCTTGCTCGTGCATGCTTGCTCGTGCATGCTTGCTCGTGCATGCTTGCTCGTGCATGCTTGCTCGTGCATGCTTGCTCGTGCATGCTTGCTCGTGCATGCCTTGCTCGTGCATGCTTGCTCCGTGCATGCTGCTCGTGCATGCTTGCTCGTGCATGCTTGCTCGTGCATGCTTGCTCGTGCATGCTTGCTCGTGCATGCTTGCTCGTGCAATGCTTGCTCGTGCATGCTTGCTCGTGCATGCTTGCTCGTGCATGCTTGCTCGTGCATGCTTGCTCGTGCATGCTTGCTCGTGCATGCTTGCTCGTGCATGCTTGCTCGTGCATGCTTGCTCGTGCATGCTTGCTCGTGCATGCTTGCTCGTGCATGCTTGCTCGTGCATGCTTGCTCGTGCATGCTTGCTCGTGCATGCTTGCTCGTGCATGCTTGCTCGTGCATGCTTGCTCGTGCATGCTTGCTCGTGCATGCTTGCTCGTGCATGCTTGCTCGTGCATGCTTGCTCGTGCATGCTTGCTCGTGCATGCTTGCTCGTGCATGCTTGCTCGTGCATGCTTGCTCGTGCATGCTTGCTCGTGCATGCTTGCTCGTGCATGCTTGCTCGTGCATGCTTGCTCGTGCATGCTTGCTCGTGCATGCTTGCTCGTGCATGCTTGCTCGTGCATGCTTGCTCGTGCATGCTTGCTCGTGCTTGCTCGTGCATGCTTGCTCGTGCATGCTTGCTCGTGCATGCTTGCTCGTGCATGCTTGCTCGTGCATGCTTGCTCGTGCATGCTTGCTCGTGCATGCTTGCTCGTGCATGCTTGCTCGTGCATGCTTGCTCGTGCATGCTGCTCGTGCATGCTTGCTCGTGCATGCTTGCTCGTGCATGCTTGCTCGTGCATGCTTGCTCGTGCATGCTTGCTCGTGCATGCTTGCTCGTGCATGCTTGCTCGTGCATGCTTGCTCGTGCATGCTTGCTCGTGCATGCTTGCTCGTGCATGCTTGCTCGTGCATGCTTGCTCGTGCATGCTTGCTCGTGCATGCTTGCTCGTGCATGCTTGCTCGTGCAATGCTTGCTCGTGCATGCTTGCTCGTGCATGCTTGCTCGTGCATGCTTGCTCGTGCATGCTTGCTCGGTGCATGCTTGCTCGTGCATGCTTGCTCGTGCATGCTTGCTCGTGCATGCTTGCTCGTGCATGCTTGCTCGTGCATGCTTGCTCGTGCATGCTTGCTCGTGCATGCTTGCTCGTGCATGCTTGCTCGTGCATGCTTGCTCGTGCATGCTTGCTCGTGCATGCTTGCTCGTGCATGCTTGCTCGTGCATGCTTGCTCGTGCATGCTTGCTCGTGCATGCTTGCTCGTGCATGCTTGCTCGTGCATGCTTGCTCGTGCATGCTTGCTCGTGCATGCTTGCTCGTGCATGCTTGCTCGTGCATGCTTGCTCGTGCATGCTTGCTCGTGCATGCTTGCTCGTGCATGCTTGCTCGTGCATGCTTGCTCGTGCAATGCTTGCTCGTGCATGCTTGCTCGTGCATGCTTGCTCGTGCATGCTTGCTCGTGCATGCTTGCTCGTGCATGCTTGCTCGTGCATGCTTGCTCGTGCATGCTTGCTCGTGCATGCTTGCTCGTGCATGCTTGCTCGTGCATGCTTGCTCGTGCATGCTTGCTCGTGCATGCTTGCTCGTGCATGCTTGCTCGTGCATGCTTGCTCGTGCATGCTTGCTCGTGCATGCTTGCTCGTGCATGCTTGCTCGTGCATGCTTGCTCGTGCATGCTTGCTCGTGCATGCTTGCTCGTGCATGCTTGCTCGTGCATGCTTGCTCGTGCATGCTTGCTCGTGCATGCTTTGCTCGTGCATGCTTGCTCGTGCATGCTTGCTCGTGCATGCTTGCTCGTGCATGCTTGCTCGTGCATGCTTGCTCGTGCATGCTTGCTCGTGCATGCTTGCTCGTGCATGCTTGCTCGTGCATGCTTGCTCTGCATGCTTGCTCGTGCATGCTTGCTCGTGCATGCTTGCTCGTGCATGCTTGCTCGTGCATGCTTGCTCGTGCATGCTTGCTCGTGCATGCTTGCTCGTGCATGCTTGCTCGTGCATGCTTGCTCGTGCATGCTTGCTCGTGCATGCTTGCTCGTGCATGCTTGCTCGTGCATGCTTGCTCGTGCATGCTTGCTCGTGCATGCTTGCTCGTGCATGCTTGCTCGTGCATGCTTGCTCGTGCATGCTTGCTCGTGCATGCTTGCTCGTGCATGCTTGCTCGTGCATGCTTGCTCGTGCATGCTTGCTCGTGCATGCTTGCTCGTGCATGCTTGCTCGTGCATGCTTGCTCGTGCATGCTTGCTCGTGCATGCTTGCTCGTGCATGCTTGCTCGTGCATGCTTGCTCGTGCATGCTTGCTCGTGCATGCTTGCTCGTGCATGCTTGCTCGTGCATGCTTGCTCGTGCATGCTTGCTCGTGCATGCTTGCTCGTGCATGCTTGCTCGTGCATGCTTGCTCGTGCATGCTTGCTCGTGCATGCTTGCTCGTGCATGCTTGCTCGTGCATGCTTGCTCGTGCATGCTTGCTCGTGCATGCTTGCTCGTGCATGCTTGCTCGTGCATGCTTGCTCGTGCATGCTTGCTCGTGCATGCTTGCTCGTGCATGCTTGCTCGTGCATGCTTGCTCGTGCATGCTTGCTCGTGCATGCTTGCTCGTGCATGCTTGCTCGTGCATGCTTGCTCGTGCATGCTTGCTCGTGCATGCTTGCTCGTGCATGCTTGCTCGTGCATGCTTGCTCGTGCATGCTTGCTCGTGCATGCTTGCTCGTGCATGCTTGCTCGTGCATGCTTGCTCGTGCATGCTTGCTCGTGCATGCTTGCTCGTGCATGCTTGCTCGTGCATGCTTGCTCGTGCATGCTTGCTCGTGCATGCTTGCTCGTGCATGCTTGCTCGTGCATGCTTGCTCGTGCATGCTCGCTCTCCTCTCTCTCTTCACGCGCTTACACAACGTTGCACACAGAAAATATCGTCACAAATCCTTGTTCTCTCTCATTCTCCCATTCTCTTGTTTTTTCTCACACTCAAGCCTTTTCCCTGTCCCTTGTCTCCTCATTTCCCCTTGGGCGTGGCCGTTCTCTCCCATCCCATGTGTCTCACTCACTGCGCACGCAGGCGTTCCCCTCGTTCGGAGGGCTCGGAGCATCCACAGCCACGCCTGGCTTCGGAGCATCGCAGCCGTCCTGTGAGTGTCTCTTCTCGCTCTTGCTGCCACTACTTCGAAAGTGCTCTGGTCGTGACTTTTAAGTCGACTCAAAAGCCACCTCGTTCCCCTCGTTCGGAGGGCTCGGCTCGGAGCATCCACAATCACGCCTGGCTTCGGAGATGACTTTTGAGTCGACTCAAAAGACAACCACGCCTGGCTTCGGAGATGACTTTTGAGTCGACTCAAAAGACATCCACGCCTGGCTTCGGAGATGACTTTTGAGTCGACTCAAAAGACAACCACGCCTGGCTTCGGAGATGACTTTTGAGTCGACTCAAAAGACAACCACGCCTGGCTTCGGAGCATCACAGCCGTCCTGTGGGTCTCTGTCTGCACCCTCCAGGTTCAATCAAGAGCGCTAGTATTGCTGTTCTGTTCCCTCTTGTGCGGCTAGCATTCGTGTTGTAGCTGTATTCTGACAATTCTTTTGAGAATTCTCAAAAGTGATTTCAATTCTCCGTGCTGTGTGAGTTGCGCTGTAGTGCCTGCCTCCAGCCGCTTCTCGTATTAGCTTCTTTTAAACACTCACAAGCAAATGCCATCCCACCTTTTCTTGCTCACATTCCCGCTTCTCGTCGCACACCTGTCTCCCACTGCCAACTTTCCCTCAGCTTTCACCTGTAGCACCTTTCATATTTCCCATAAGGCAAAATATCAGTTATCCGCCTCTTGTCACTCTCCCGCCGCTTCCATCCCTTCTCTCCCATGCAGTCGGTGGTGGGCTATTCGGCTCCACCCCTCAGCTCGGCTCCTCTGCCTTCGGCGCCTCGTAAGTCCTATTCTCCTCGCCCTCCCCCCTCCCTTTCCTCCCACATGCCTTCTCCTATCACCCTTCCCTCCCCTTCTCCCCCTTCCCCTCCCCTTCCCCACCTCCCCCTCTTCCCCTTTTCCTGGCCCTTCGCTCTCTTGCATCTCGCTTTTGACTCATGAGTCGACTCAAAAGTCATTGCTCCACTTTTTTTTTTTTTTTTCGTCTCTCCTGGCTCTTCATTCGCTTGCATCTCGCTTTTCCACGATCTGTCTCTTCTCCCTCCCTCCCAGCACCCTCGTGCAGCTCCCTTTCTCCCCTCTTTAGTCTGGTGGAGCGGTTCTTTTGAGGCGTCTCAAATAACCGTTGAGGCGCCTCAAAAGCCGTCCCTTCTCCCTCCCTCCCAGCACCCCTGTGAAACTCCCTTTTTCCCCGCTCCAGTCGGGTAGAGCACTTTTGAAATCACTTTTGGGAATTCTCAAAAGTGAATTCTGCCTCCCTCTCAGCACCCTTGTGAAACTCCCTTTCTCCCCGCTCCAGTCTGATAGAGCAGCACTCGCATTTCTTATTCTTCAGATTACTCCTCCTCCTGCCCTTTGCTCCCCTCCCAACCTCCCTTGTCCTCCCACGCCAGCCTCGGAGCGACCGCCATGGGAGGCCTGTTCGGCCAGTCGCAGCAGCAGCAACAGCAGCAACAAATGCAGCTCCAGCAGCAACAGCAGCAGCAGCTGATGCAGCAGCTGCAGCAGTCGGGGCTGCTCCAGTCGCCCTTCGGTGTGCTGCCTGCCATGCCCAACTTCGGCCTCGGGGGGGCTGCCGGAGGGGTCAGAGCCAGCACGGAGCTTGGCATATCCAGCATGCCTGTGAGTATAGCAACTCTCACAAGCAACTCATCCAAGCCTGTGAGTACACAAGCACTTGAGCACTGGGGACAGTCGCGGCTGCTCCAGTCGCCCTTCGGTGTGCTGCCTGCCTGCCATGCCCAACTTCGGCCTCGGTGCTGCAGGAGGGGTCAGAGCCAGCACAGAGCTTGGCATTTCAAGGATGCCTGTGAGTATCAGAATTTTAAGAAACAAGCATCCACGCCTTTGTGTTAAGTGTTGAAGCACTTGGGCCCTTGGATGGACAGTCGCTACGTCTCACGCCTGGCTGGCTGGCTGCATGAAGTTGACTCCTGAATCAACTTCTTCTGACTCATGAAAAACTCCCCCTTTTTTCCCTCTCCTTTTCCCCCTTCTCCCTCTCTCCCCGAACCACAGGCCTCGGACCGCTATGCGTCGGGAACGCGCGTCTCCTCCATCCTCACGCCCCGCCGCATCACCCCCCGCACGCGTGCACGCATGCACCATCCCGCCACACGTCACTTCCACCCCGGGCGCGACACTGCCCGCGTGCCCTTCTTCTTCTCCTCGCCCTCCGGCCACCACGACATCTCCCCCGCCGTGCCGCAATGCTCACCTCTTGATCTTCTTCCTCCTTCTTCCCTTTCTCCCTCCTCCCCTGACAGGCATCGGACCGCTACGCTTCAGGCACGCGCGTCTCCTCCATCCTCACACCCCGCCGCATCACCCCCCGCACTCGTGCACGCATGCACCATCCCGCCACGCGCCACTTCCACCCCGGGCGCGACACTGCCCGCGTGCCCTTCTTCTTCTCCTCGCCCTCCGATCACGACGATATCTCCCCTGCTGTGCCCCGCGCCGACGCCCTCTTTGTCCCCCGCGACAACCCGCGCGCCCTCTTCATCCGCCACCCCGTCGCCCCTGCTGCTGCTGACAACGCTCCTGCTGCTGGTACTGTTGGCGCTGACATTAGCCCGAACCGGAAGAGCCGTGCTGCTGCTGCTGGAGGGACGCCGGGCAAGTCAGGCTCGCCTCAGGGATCAGACTATCAGTCGCCCCCTTCAAGGGTCTCTCCCAGGGATGCCTTCTATGCTCCTTCCGCTCCTCCCTACGATTCCTCCGATCTGAATGGCAATGGAGGTTCACAGTCCCCCAGGAGCCCCTCTGCTGCCCGCGCTGGCGCCACAGGCGGAGGATTTGGGTCCGCCATGCCTTCCCCCACTCTCTCCCCCGCCTGGAACGGCTCCTTCTCTCCGCCCTCCCCCTCTCGCGCCACCGGCACCGGTGCGAAAGGTCCTGGGATCGAATCCCAGCTGCCGCGATTAAAATCCGCGGATTATTTCACCGAGCCGTCGCTGTCTGCTCTAGCTGCCTTGGAGCGCTCGCTCCCGGGGTCGCTGGCGCGCGTGCGGGACTTCGTGGTGGGGCGGAAGGGGTTTGGGAGTGTGCGGTTTCTGGGCGAGACGGACGTGAGGGGGCTGGACGTGGAGGGGATAGTGCAGTTTCACAAGTGCGAGATTCTGGTGTATATGGACGAGGAGAGCAAGCCGCCGGTGGGGGAGGAGCTGAATAAGCCTGCGGAGGTGACGCTGCTGCAGGTGGTGTGCGTCGATAAGAAGACCGGCAAGGCGGTAAGTGCCCCGGTTTGATGCCCTTTCGTTTCCAGTTCTTTTTTTCTGTTCAGTGTTTTATGTTGTTGAGTTAGCGATTTGAGTGCAAGCTGGAGCGGCAGGCTCGTTTTGAGTTTTGAGGCGCCTCAAATGCTTGTTCGTTTCTTACCTCTCATCTGATGCGAGCAGGTGACGGAGGGGCCGGAGGTGGATCGGTTTGAGCGCAAGCTGCGGCGTAAGACAGCGGAGCAGGAGGCGGAGTTCCTGTCGTTCAATGCGGCCAAGGGCGAGTGGCGCTTCAAGGTGCAACACTTCAGCCGATACGGGCTGGAGGACTCAGATGATGATGAGGACGAGGAAAGGGAAAGGGGGAGAGGAGAGGGCGAGGAAGAGGGCAGCGAGGATGATGGGGAGTTGGGAGAGGAGGAGTATGAGACTGATGAGGGTCTGAGTGGTGATGGTGATGGTGGTGATGGTGTTGGTGGTGGTGATGGTGATCGTGGTCGTGGGAGGGTCTCTGTGCCACCTGGCGGCGTGTCACTGGACCGGGCATTGCCAGCTCAGCTGGGGATCGACCCAATCAGGCTGCAGCAGATGCGCCAGGTCATGTTTGGCCGCAGTGCCATCGACAAAGATAATGATGATAATGATGATAATGATGATAATGATGCGGGGTACAATGGTGGGTTTGGGGGTGGGATGGGTTTGACCAGCGCCAAGAGAAAGCAAGGGGGGTTTGGGGTGGAAGCAATGGATGCCGATTGGCAGGGCTGGGGGTCAGGGAAGGCTCCTAGGTTCGGCATGCTAGGAGCGGCCGCCGCCGCTGCGGCCGCTGCCAGTGCTGCCGCCGCAGCTGCCGCCGCTGCTACTGGTGGTGCTGCCAGTGGTGCTGGTACGGCCAGGAAGGCAGTTGACCCTTGGTCGAATCCTTGGGCTGCTGGATTCAGGGGAAACAGGAGGGCTGGCGGGCGGGGAGCACAGAAGCCGACCTCCTTTCTAGCAGGCAGCAGGATAGGCGTGCGGGTTTTCCCAGAGTTTGAGGCAGGTGCACCAGGCGTTGGAGCAGCAGGAGCAGGAGGAGCAAGGGGGGGAGGGGCGAGTGCTGTGCTGGTGTCAGGGCTGCAAGGCCGAGTGCATGCGCACGTGCACCCAGGTGCTGTTGCGGCGTCAGGATTCGAATGGACCATTTTTGAGGCGCCTCAAGCGTCAGGATTCGAATGGACCATGCCAAACGCGTTGCCTGGAAAAGCAACACGACCCGCAGCAGCAGGAGGAGCAGGGGCCGCGGCGGGAGCCGCAGGGACAACAGCGGGAGCAGCGGCAGCGGTGGCGCAGGCAGTAGCGGCAGTGGCGGTGGTGGCGACGGTGCCAGGGGAGGGGAGCAGCGGCGTTGCAGTGGATGCAGGGTTGTTCCTCGGCCGCTCGTTTCGTGTAGGCTGGGGGCCGGGCGGAGTGCTGGTGACTCCAGGCAAGGTGCTGCCTGCTGGGAGCTTCGCCGGTGGTAACCGCGCTGCAGCAGATGTTACAAATGTGACTCCCATCTCGTCCAAAATCACAGTCACCCAGGTGGCCTTCTCCCCCTGGTCCTCCCTTCCCCCTCCTCCTGCTTCTTTCGTCTCTCCTCTACTTTCCAGTCCCCTTAAGTCCCTCAGTCCAGGGGGGGCAGGGAGGGACGCCGAGTTGTCAGAAGCAGAAGCAGAGAGGGGTGCAGCGGAACGGGAGCGGCTGCAGCAGCTGCTGCTGATTGAGCCGCTGCTGCTGCACTTCCAGTTGAGTAGGGTGGTGGGGGGGCGTGGGAGGGGGGGAGAGGAAGGGTGGGGCGCAGGTGAGGAGGAGGGTGACGGAGAGGTTTTGCAGAGTGAGGAGGAAGAAGAAGAGGATGCGGAGAAGAGCGGTGAAGATGAGGAGATGGAGGGGGAGAAGGGCGGGAGAGAGGAGGGGAGAGAGGAGGGGAGGGAGTGGGTGGGGCGACGGTTGGTATGTAGCAGGCAAGGCGGCAGCCTGGCCTCCCTGTGTCGCCGCTACAGCTCCCTGGCTGTAGCAGCTGCTGACGCACTCGCTGCTGCCCGGACAAAGGCTGGGCAGGGGCGGGTTGTATCTGGGGTGGGCGTATCTGAGCGGCAGCTGCAGCACGAGCAGGCGGTTTGGCAGCTTGTGGACGTGCTGTTCTCTGATTGGCAGGGCAGGAGGCGCAGTGACGTCATGCAGGGGTCTGGAGGGGTGGAGATGGGTGGAGAGTTTGAGGGAGTAGTTGGTGACGGGTCGGGTGAAAAGGCAGGTGGTGGTTCAGGTGGGAAGTCGGGTGAGGGGTCGATGGAGGAGGAGAGGGATGGGGAGGTGGAGGATGGGTATGGGGGGATGGAGGGGATGAGTGGGGGTGGACAGAAGAGTGGGATGGAGCAAGGGAATGGGGGGAAGGGGGCGAGAGAGGAAGCAGCGCTGAACAGGCGTCTGTTTGCAGATGATGACTTGGCGAACGAGGAGGAGGAAAAAGAGGAGACTCAAGGAGGTGCTGCTGCTGGTACTTCTGCCAGTGAACAGCCACAGTGGTTTGGAGGGGCAGAATCTG